GAATAACAGAAGAATTCAGAAATTTGATTCTAAGAATAAAAGAACATGACGCTAATCTTTCGACTTTTAACGTTGAACTTTGGTTAAAAAAAAAAAAACGAATTAACGTAGAACATATTATTATTATTATTACTACTACTACAAGAACATGTTTAATCAAAAGAAATGATGCGCATCTATCGGCTTGGAAGAAGTTTGATACCAATATTAGTTGGATGGCACCGAAACAGATTTGTGTTACAACCATTTATTATTGAAGTGTGATCAGCTAAACCTTGTTGTCGTTTTCTATAGTAGAATTTCTTATTACAAGCTGTTCAGTTGTTGTGAAAACTTTTTAATGAATATATTCTATTTTTTGAGATCTACTTCCCTTTATTCTTACATGAGTTGAGATGCTAGAGGCAGATTCAGACAATCAGACCCAAAATGTGTGTATAGGGAAGTAAAATTAATTTGTTAATTATTACATCGTATTCTCTATGGCTTTTCTTATTCAGTTCTTTAAACCTCGAAAACAAAGAATTCTTGGAACTAGGAGTTGAAAACTTCAATCGCGGCCAATTAGTATTTCGGGAAGAACTTGAGCTATTTAGCAGGTGAATATTTGTGTGTGTGTGTGTGTGTGTGTGTTGGTTTCCCCTCCTAACAGAGAACCAACCTTCTAGTGTTAATTTTGCTTGTATTAATTGTTAATCCTAGCTAGAATAATCACTCATCAACATATCATATATCATAATAATCAGGTGGTTTGAGGAGAGTGGAATGGAAAAACTACATTTTCCTGTTGCCAAAACAACAGTTACGTATTCCTTCTTGTCAGTGGCGGCAACACTCCCCTCGCCAGAACTTCGTGGAGCACGTTTAGCTTGGGCAAAGCATGGATTGCTCACATCTGTGTTTGATAATTTCTTCGATGTTTGGAGTACCAAAGAGGAACAAATAAACCTTATAACGTTAATGGAGAAGTATGTATTATATATAGTTCGCACATCTGAATTTCTCTCCCAGCATTGACATGAATATATAAGATTGTGTTTTGAAACATTGAAACACACAGGTGGGACGTAGATGTCAACAAAGAAAGTTGTTCTGAAACGGTGAAGATATTATTCTTAGTGCTCTAGAGAACAATTATGGAGACTGTAGCCCAAGCCTTTAAGGTTCAAGAGCGTAGTGTCCTGAACCACTTAATTCAACACGTAAGAAAAAATATCAGTGACCATCATCATCTCAATTCTCCTTACAGTCTTCTAAAGATCATCTCAAATCTTTCTGTGTATATGACATATCCACAAGATGGATGGCTGACTTCAACATTTACCTGTTTCCAGTGGGTGGATATTCTACGATCTGGGTTGAAGGAAGTGGAATGGTGCAGAAACAAGTGTGTGCCAAGCATAGAAGAATATGAGCGTAATGGAATTATAACGATGGCCTAGGGACCAATTATTAGCTCTGTACTGTATCTTACGGGACCCAAGATTCCACGGGCTGTAATTGAAAGTGACGAATACAATCACCTCTTTGAGGTTGTTGGTCTACATGGGCGATACCTCAATGATGTCAATGGCTACCAGGTGAGAGATTAACTATTACAATCTCGAATCCTTAGTATGAGAGCTAGTTGACTAATTTGAGTAGATTAAAAAAATTAGTTAAGTTAGTTAGTTATAATAAATATATGTTATCTTTCTTAAAATATATTTGCTGATCAAATATATTAGTTATAACTACTATCACTACAAGGATTATCTTGGAGGGAAAAAAAGACAAACACAAGAGATAAAATGGATAAGAGTATTATATTTAGAACTGAAATAAAAGTTAAACTACCTGTTATATTAAGGACATACAAGAGATAGTAAGCGAAATTACAAACCTATAACTGGGTTTTGATGAAATTAAGTTTCATGAAAAATTGTCATTATTTTCATATTTCACTATCAAATAACAAAAACGATAAACCAAATGACAAGAGTGGTAAGCAAAATAACAATTTTGTGATTAGGTTTCTTATGAAATTAAGTTTCATCAAAAGTTGCTATTATCAAAAGTTGCTATTATTTTCACATTTCACTACTAAATGACAAAAGTAGTAAGTCAAATAACAAAAGTAGTAAACCAAATAACAAGTTTGGTAAGTAAAATTACAAGTTTGTGATTGAGTTTCTCATTAACTTTAGAACATTAAATAGATCTATATTGTTACCATTTAGAACTGATAAATACAAAATATTAGCATTGTTTTGTTCATAAACAAACAACCAACATTTTCAAATTGTCATGTCATGTTGCTATCATCATAGTAACAAGTCTCTAGTTGCAACACTACCAAACGAAGTTACAACAATAGTAAGCCAAATAACAAAAAGCCAAATGTGCTTAGGCAGCAACCATTTTTTTCCAAGATTTAGTGACAAGTGCACTTCAAACTAACTATAACCTCCTCCAACTAATATCTTTCATCACTAACTTCACGTCTCATTCTCTTCCACCGCATAACCTAGCGACCCACGCCAAAACTCGCTATGATGACACCATGCCAATCGTGAAGCATACTAGTAGTTGGGTAGATGGAATCTCATCCTCTCCAACATTGATTTTGTATACTATCTCTAGAGCACCATTGCTATTAACTTGAATCTCATTACTCTTGCCAGCTGGCATTAACAATGGGTCACTAGTTTTTTTGTAATAAAGATCGATAGGCATGGCTACAAGCTCAATCCCATTCATAAATACATAGGTAGCTAGATGATTGGTGTTGGAAGGGAGAGGAAGAGGAAGAGAAGGATGAAGAGAGAGAGAGGAAGAAGAAGAGAAGAAGGAAGGAGAACGAGATGGGGTGATGGAAGAAAGGGAAGAAGGGCATTTATATCTTTTTGGTTTGATTTCATAATTGCAATTTAAAACCAGGTCCCTCCAAGCAATTAAGCTTATTCAGGTGTGCATTTGGCTATTTTGCTAATTCAGGGGTCTTTGTTTACCATTTTCCCTATTAATTAGTATATAATGTATTATATATTTGGCCCCACCAAAATTTAACATCAAATAAGAGCATGGAATATATAAAACAATAAATAAAACCCGTGGATGATTCAGAATGCTGCCGAGGGCCGACATATACAAGAGCAGTTAAGCAATGAATTTGCAGAATAATAAAAACGGGACCCAATTTATTAATATAATTAATGATTGGACCATACTTAGGTCAAGTTTCTCATATCTATTATGTCAAGTTTTCTAATCATATACGGCCATGTATTCTATTTTTAAAATATTAGCGTTTAATTATAAATCCACAAGGAAAAAAAATACATGATGACTATAGAATTTGACACAGTGAATATAAATCAATTGATCTAAGCACTTTTCTTAGTGATTCTCGTGCATGGAAATAAACAATAGATGTAACAATATAAAGCACATTTAGGCTTGAGATTTAAATATCATTCTTATAATAATTACTTATTGCCATGTAGCGACAAGGTGGGTGAGATTGTAAGCCTCCAACTTGAAAGAGACATCCATTGTTGACCATGAATTAAACATTCATATTTTTTATTATATTGGAATATTTGAGTCGATAATATAACGATTACCAGCCAACACCAACAGTATGATGTACGGAAGCAGCCTTGACAAGCTATTTTTCCTTTTTGGGATAACTAGTTAGTTATGATAAATTAATAACTTAATGTTGGGAATTCTCCAAAGATTTTAAATCATCATCATCATCATCATCATCATCATCATGGGCAGACAAATTAAATGTTTCCTTTTTGGGATAACTAGTTAGTTATGATAAATTAACAACTTAATGTTGGGAATTCTCCAAAGATTTTAAATCATCATCATCATTGGGCAGGCAAATTAAATATGGAGTGTTTTCAATCAAATTAGACGAATATTTTACTAAATAAACAGCAAAATGTAATTAATTAAGGATAATTCACCTTCTTGTGAAATTTTATATAATCTATAAATATTATATAGCGGCATGTAGATATACTACTGTCGATCATTCAAATTAAACTCATATTAAGATGTATAGATTGCCGCTTGAGGCAGCCGCAAGTGGGTTAATGCATTTTCACTGAATGATTTATTGAATTTATAAGTATGAGCAAATCGTAATACATTAATTATAACCAAACAAATATGTTTTTAACTAATAAAACAGACTTAATAGCTATGAATATTACATATTTGCAATTCATTTCCTGTAATCTTTATTCATGATTATGGATCACATTAGAGTTCATTTTACTGGTTCATTGAATGAATGATTGATTCAGTTGGATCACAAAATAGTTATAATATAATATCTTCTAAAATTATTAGCTAGCTAGCCTCCTATGAACCATGAAGAGACATAAAGGTCCAAAACTTCCTGTCAAGTAGGCATATGGGTAAGACGCTATAGGAAATGTTTGAAAGCCGACATTCTGGAAAATTGATGGGAAGAAATCTTGTTTAATGCTCTTCCAATCTTTAATATAGAACCTAATTATTGAGTTGATTTTAATCCTAAATATAAAACCTATTTCTTATATTTATTAATTTTTTTTCTAAATTATTCTTATGGATGCTCTTTCAACTATAATCAAGTAGAAAAGGGAAAGGGGATATTATGATGTTTTAAGAAAAAGATATCATATTTCTTGTAATTAACTAACTTACCTAATTTCTTTAATCTAATCAAATTAGTTGAATAAATCTTATATTAAAGACTGGAGGGGTATTATATTTTAATTCCACAAAGAATTTGACCAAAAACAAATTCCACAAAGACTAATGACTAATGAGAGCCCTTATTTTGAAAATCGTTTGCTGAAATTGGTGAAATTAAATTACATTTTGTACGTCATCATTGTCATTATTCATTTTTCTACTATAAATTTTATCTAAAAGTATTACATCTTTTGTTTATTTTATGCCAACAACTCCTTAGATTATAAAGCCACGCCACTCGATCTTCTTCTCCATACTAGCTACCTACCATCTCTCACTAGCCCAATCATGGAGACTCAAATCCCATACTCCATCTTCTTCTTCACTTTCCTTTTCCTCTTCATGATACACAAACTTTCATCTTCGAAGAAATCCCAGAAAACTCTACCCCCAGGACCATGGAAATTACCTCTTATAGGAAGCCTTCATCAGATTGGTTCATTACCCCATCGATCTCTCAGAGACCTCGCAAACAAGTATGGACCTTTAATGCATCTCCAGTTGGGACAGATTTCCCATTTCGTAGTCTCTTCACCAGAAATAGCCAAAGAGGTTATGAAAAGCCATGACATAATCTTCGCTAATAGACCCACCAGTTTTGCAAGCGAAACCTTGGCTTATAACAGCACAGATATTGCCTTCTCTCCTCATGGAAACTACTGGAGGCAACTTCGAAAGATTTGTACCTTGGAGCTTTTGTCCCTAAGAAGAGTCCAGACATTCAGAAGAATAAGAGAAGAGGAGGTTTGTGCATTTGTGAAGCATATTTCTGAACACGAATTAGGTTCTGTTGTGAATCTCACGAACAAAATCTACCCACTCACAAATTCTATAGTTGCTCGAGCAGCCTTTGGTCGGAAGACTAGAAACATAGAAGAGATTATACCAGTTATAATGACTGGCATACAGATTACAGGTGGATTATCAATCTCTGATCTCTGTCCTTCATTGGAATTCCTTCGTGTGATCAGTGGGGCAAAAGCTAAAGCTGAAAGAGTGCATAAAGACATTGATGTGATGCTTAACACTATCATCAACGATCACTTAGTAGAAAAGAAGGGCGAAGATATTGCAGAAGCAGAGGAGGATCTCGTTGATGTTCTTCTCAGGGTTCAAAAAGAGAATGATCTTGAAATCCCCTTAACTCTCGACAACATCAAAGCTGTCATTTTGGTAAGCCGTAGTTCTAAATAACTATACACGATTAATTTGTCAAATGTTTGATCGCAACTTTTAACTTTTAAAAATATTATTGTGATGTTATATCTATTAAATTATATTCTCCCAATTTTTTATGCTTAATTGGTTAACGACTTACTTTTTAGTTGATCAGGACATCAAAGCAGATAACGTACGCACTAGACATGTTGACTTGTTATGTCTATAGATAGGTACATGAATCAAAGTAGATAACAAATATGGAGATTTTAATTAATCATGGCATCTATTTTCTTTCAGGATATGTTTGTTGGTGGAACTGAAACAGCAGCAACAACAACAGGGTGGGCAATGGCAGAAATGGTTAAAAACCCAGAAGTAATGAAGAAGGCACAAGAAGAAGTAAGAAGGGTCTATGGAAACAAAGGTTATGTGGATGAATCAGAACTTCATCAATTGAAATATGTAACCGCGGTCCTTCGAGAAACTTTAAGGTTACACCCGCCTGTTGTTTTGTTACTTCCAAGACAAAATAGTGAGATTTGTCAAATTAATGGCTATGAGATACCTCTCAAATCTACTGTGATTATTAACGCTTGGGCCATAGGAAGGCATCCTCAGTATTGGAATGAACCAGAGAAGTTTCAGCCTGAGAGGTTTATCAATAGGTCGGTTGATTTCAAAGGCACCAACTTTGAGTTCATTCCATTCGGTGCAGGAAGAAGAATATGTCCTGGAATGTCATTTGCTACGCCAGTTTTAGAACTGATAGCAGCAAATCTACTTTATCATTTCGATTGGAAGCTTCCAAATGGAGAAAAGCATGAAGATCTGGACATGACTGAGATTTTTGGTGCTGCAATAAGAAGAAAAAATGACCTGTGTTTAATTCCCACTGCATATCGCCCTTAGCTTTATTGCCTTGGTAGAATAATCAATAAGAGGCTCTATGGCCTTTGAGAAGCTTTTTCTACTTTGGTTCTGTAATAATAATGGACGATTAATTGAGAGCATCCAGTCAGGTTTCTTTGTTTTTTTTTTGGGGGGGGGGGGGGGGGAGGGTCTCAATGCATTGTATTACGTTTTTTATGGGTAATGTTATTGGAGCATATCTCTATTTTCTAAAAGTTCTTTAAAGAACATCTCTTTATGGTTATTTTCTTTTTTAATATTATACAATGATTAAATTTGTCTTCAAATATTGCCCCCATAGATTAAGTTTCATCTCAAAATAATGAGGAGACGCACTTTCAAATTTCAATCTCTCCTAGTGTAATTATGTTAGAAACAAGAATCTATGATATTACATAATTTTAGAACACCATTATGATCGACCCCATGGGTTAATTAAGTCACTACTTTTAGCTATATTAATTACTTTACAAATATTTGACCTAAAATATAATCACATATGTGACATATCCACAAATGAATCATAAATTAAAATTAGCCTATTGTTCATGTACAAATTAAAATCACAATTGATTGTAAGGAAATTTCACAAATTATATTAGGTTAAAGTATATTTTTAATTATTTAATTTTATATAAGGTTTCAACTGAAATACTAGAGCCGGTAGAAAAAAATTTAATCACTAGAGTATAATATGTACAGCTGTCATTGTAGATATTACTGCTAAACTGCTAATAAATCTTAATTAATTATAAATATATTATTGCTAAACTGCTAATAAATCTTAATTATAAAAATTATTGCCACCGTCCCGGCCGCATCAATCACGATTTTCCCATAGCGAGGCGGTGCCAAAGATTGTGCCCAAAAATATACTAGTGCTAGCAGATGAAAAATTGATTGTGCCAAAACTAACGGAACTACTTCCCGACATCATGATGCTTGTTAAATCTTAACCTATAGATAACCAAAATTTAATTTTTTTTATATTTTCAAGAAAATTGTGTCGTTTAATAAGTAGATAATTCAAAATAAATATAATCTTTTAACTATAAGTTTTTTAAAATAATTTTTATTTAAAAGTTATTAGCTGAAAATTTTAAATTTAGAACATTAAAAACGAAAATCATGATGCTCATTACTGTGATGAGTACCAAAACTGGTTCTCAAAAATAACCTCATTTAATTGTAAAAGACGAAAATGATTTTGTTTCCTAAATGGCAAAGGTTATATCGAAGCATCCAACCCTTCAATTTGAAGGTGATTTTCATGTACCTTTGACGGAGATATATATATATATATATATATATATATTCAACACAAGAAATAACGAAGGATGTTATCCGGCAAATTAAAAATAGTATAACTACTGCATCCAATTTTTAATATAGGAGCTTCATAATTAATTTAGAGAGATTAATAAAACTGGTATGCATTGAAACCATTTTTGGTAGGAAACCTTGATAATGAATAAAAATATTATAAATTTAAAAAACAAGGCATATTAATATTTTATATTTCAAATTAAATTTAATTTTCAACTAATTTTTATATTGTTATTAAGTACCGAAAATAGTAAGGGAGAATTACAATGAGGTCCCAAGCAAGGAAAATAATTGAAAAACAAGTTTCAGAAGTTGTCATTCTCACTATAAGACTTGTTATTATAGGCTGTTGAAGTTGTTATTGAAACTTTTTGATAATTATTTCTCTTCTGTGGGACTTGATTATAATTCTCCTAAATAGTAATTTCAAAAGTCGATGAGCGATGGTCATAGGACGTCAGCCGCCAGGACGTAATAACTAGTTGTCAAGTGGTCGCAGTATGATACTACCTTCGGTCTTATAAACGCGACCGGAGGTAGTAGTTGGGTAAGTGAAAGTTTCTAGAACAGTAACTGTACATAATGTCTTCCGAATTTTTTTTTCCCAGAAAAACAAGATTGCAAATTCCAATTTTTCCACGTAACATATACAGACCGTGCCGCGATCATCTCTGTCGAAGCTTCCACGTTGAAACTAGCTGGGAAGATGTAAAACGCCAGGATATGCATTATATATGTTCAATTTGATCAAATCTAAGAAAAACATTTGGATGCATTATTCGAGTTCATTGATTGAATCATTATTAGAAATCATTATAGTCATTTTAAAGATTTCAAAAATAACTCCTCTCTATAATGAGTTCTAATAATTAAAAAAAAATATAATGATTGGAATGCACATTAATTTCTTAACTAATTCTTAAACAATTTTGGATCAAGATTTTAGACATAATAGATTTGTCTTTACCAAGTCATTGATTGAAAGAACGATCCGATCCGATCGGATCATAAGATAATCTATATCTTATTATATCTTCAGTATAATAAGTCTTAAAATACTACCTCTAGTCCTAATTATAAAATCTTATTTGTAATCTGTGAATAAGATCTTATAATTAGGACGGGAGGTAATATAAAATTAAAAATTCTTATATACGAACCTCTAATTTTTATATAAGAGCTGGTTGACTAATTTGAACAGATTAAAAAAGTTTGTTAAGCTAGTTATTTTTAAATAAATGTGTGTTGTCTTTCATAGAATACCCTTATTAATAATGTGTATTAGCTAAAGCTACCATTTGATGAAACATTTAACATGTATAACTACTTTAATGATTACTTGAAATCAATAAATAAATATAAAAAACAAAGTAAATCAGGGTCTTATATTTAGAATTAAATTGAATATCAAACTAGCTTTCATACTAAGAAACGAAAGTAGTATAAATATGAGAGACAAAATAGATTAGATTTTTATATTTAGAATTAAATTAAATATCAAACTAGCTCTCATACTAAGAAACAAGGCCGTATAAATATGAGAGACAATAGATTATGATCTTATATTTAAAATTAAATTGAATATCAAACTGGCTCTTATACTAAGAAATAAACGTAGTATATATTTTCCTTATCTTGCAAAATTAAACAAGCTAGCAGCCTCTCCATATCAAAACTTCCTCAATGGCAACTTTGGAGACGTAAATCATTAGTAATATCTATATATACATGAATCTCAATTCAATTTGATTAATAAGACAAAAGATTTGACTGCCTACCTTTTAGAATGAATGATGGCCAAAATGAATGGGGGAGAACTTGTTGAATTCATATGTCTCAAAATTAAATTCGCCCCCATTATATTATTTGAATAATATATTTTCACATTCTATATAAAGAATAACTAATGATTATTGAGTAGTTGTAGACCACCTTGTTGACTTGTTTGAATTTCCATTAAACAAAAGACGAGTATATGTTACATGACCAAGATCATCATATGAATTTAGCAGATATAAATATTATTGCGCGTGACCCTACCTTCTATGACGCAGGTGGCTAGGATGCCTTTTCTAGCTACAACGATTTTTGTTGGATACGTTATAGACGAACATGATTATTGTATCTTTGAGTCAAATTAGACAGATTAGGAATAGTCCAAGTGGCTTGCTTCTCTACTGTATTTCAAGTGAATTGAAAACTAATTTTCGATAGGATTGAAACAACTTATACTTTTAGGTAGTCATGAAATTAGATGATAATAACTTCATGACTATATAGAAGGGGGAGAAGGGGGAGTGAATAAAAGGTACTTTTATGCGATATAATTTTCAGACTCATAATTTTTTTAATGGAATAATTAATATCTCACATTGTGCCTAAATGTCATTTTCCATATATTGAGTCATAATTTTTAATTATTAGAAATCAGTATGGTTCTTAAAATCTTTCATCTCAATTTTTTTTTTGGTATAGAAAAATTTTTCCTTCTAAGTTTAAGAGTGGCTATATGCCCTGGTTTAAAAATTAAGGGGAAAAAAAAAGAGTGGCTATATGCTATCAATGCATTTATGTTGCATCAATACTTTAGACAAGTAGCCAAATTTGTGCTGGACATGTATAAAGAAAATTGTTGGAAAAGGCAGTAAATTAAGATGACTGGGCAGACAACTTTGAGTTCTGTGAAGACATGTTTTAAGTTTTATTGAACAAGATCTTTTGATGAATAACATATTTAAAGATATATTGATAGATCGAGCGCAATGCTATAATGCAATCGATGTAATTAAATTAAGTGATAACTTTATTCCTAAATGGCAAAGGTTATATCTATATAAGTATCCAAGCCTTCAATTTGACTGTGATTTTCATGTACCTTTGACAGACATATATAGTCAATACAAGAAACAACGAAGAATGTTATCCCGCAAATTAAAAGTAGTATAATTATTGCATCTAATTTTTAATATAAGAGCTAGATAATTAATTTAGAGAGATTAATGAAACTGGTAGGCAATGAAACCATCTTTTGCTGAAAGCCCTTACAATCAGTAGAAATATTATAAATTTAAGAAACAAGACATATTAAGATCTTATATTTCAAACCAAATTTACTTTTCAACTAATTCTTATATTATTATTAAGTGCCGAAAATAGTAATTTCAAAAGTTGATAAGCGATGGTCATAGGACATCAGCCACCAAGACGTAATAACTAGTTGTCAAGTTGTCGCAGTATGATAGTTGGGTAAGTGAAAGTTTCTAGAACAGTAACTATACATAATGTCTTCGGAACTTTTTTTCCCCGAAAAAAAAGATTGCAAATTCCAATTTTTCCACGTAACATATACAGACAATACCGCAGCCATCTCTATCAAAACTTGCTCGTTGGAAACTAGCTGGGAAGATGTAAGACGCCAGGATATGCATTATATATGTTCAATTTGATCAAATCTAAGAAAAATATTTGGATGCATTATTCGAGTTCATTAACTGAATCATTATTAGAAATCATTATAGTCATTTTAAATATCTCAAAAATAACTCCCCTCTATAATGATTTTTAATAATTAAAAAAATATAACGGTTTGGAGTGCACATTAGTTTCTTAACTAATTCTTAAACAATTTTGAATCAAGATTTTAGACATATTACAGTTCTCTTTACCAAGTCATTGATTGAAAGAACGATCCGATCCTATCCGATCATAAAATAATGTATATCTTATTATATCTGCAGAATAATAAGTTTTAAAGTATAAAATTAAAAATTCTTATATATTACCCCCAGTCCTTAATATCAAAGC